CAATCACAAGCTTGAATCTTAAGATTGAGTTCTGTCTAACGTGATTTTAGATCACAGAATTTTAGCAATCATATTAATACAATTTTGCATTAAAACTTTGACCATGCTGGTGGGATTCTAATCCTGATTCTAGATTTTCTTGTTCACGTGCAAATTGAGGCAAAATGATTGAAGCAAAAGGAAAAAAACGAAATTAATAATAATAATAATAATGATAATAATATAATATAATATATTAAAATGATGAATATAGTAATAATGTTAATATAATATATTATATTATATACTATGATATAATAACACTAATAGTAATAATACTACTATACTAATATTATATTACTATAACAATATATATAAAAAAAATTAATCTCAATTAACTTCGGATACAAATGAATGTCTACAAGTAGCTTATTCAAGAAATAAACGAATACGCCGATAAGAAACTTTTTATTCATCAGATACTGACCAACTTTTGTTTATGTTAACTACAGCCAGATATAGCTGCGCCTGGTGTAAGTATGTTAGCAGCTAGTTCTCCCTTAGATCCCTTCATGGGTAGTGGGTTTGCCCTTCATTCTGGAACGTCAATGGCAGCTCCTCTCATCTTAGGCATTATTGCTCTACTCAAAGCAAAACACCCCAAGTGGTCCCCTGCTGCCATTAGATCAGCAATTGTCACCACAGGTATTTGTCTGTCTATATCTTTCCTATTAATTAACGATCTTTCCTATTAATTAACTCCACATACAAAGTACTAGTCGAACCTCCATTTGGCATAGCCATAACTGTAACGCCTGACACTTTAGTTTTCAACTATGCGGCCCAGAACATCTCATTTCAAGTTACAGTCTCCACCTTCCACAAAGTATATACAGGATACTATTTTGGCAGCCTAACCTGGACAGATGGAGTACACAATGTGACCATTCCTATATCTGCAAGAACACAAATTTACAAAATTATGCTGATGAAAATTAAAGACCTCCACTCTTTCAGTTGGTCATTGAAAGGAAATAATTGAATAAGCCCAATAGTTCTGTTGGTGCGAAAATGTAAACTAGTGAACAGTGGATTGTAAGGAATATTTGATGTTTATAGATTTGTGGATACAATAAACGATCTTCTTATTGCTTTGAGAGATACAAGTTGGATCGCTATCTGGTGCTGCATGATTTTACCCTCTTGAGCCTGAGATTGGCTCCATTCTTCAGATTGGAATAAGAAGACAATTGCTCTTTCACGAGAAAGTGGGGTCGTAAATCACCCATTTGCAATATCCAAGGAAGGAAAGATTCATCCGTGTTTCTTTATAATGGACAAAATTCAAATGCAATGACACTAAAAGGTTGAATTTAGTCGCACTTGCTCATTAATTAAAGGTGTACTAGGATAAAATTATCACGTCCCGAGATCCAGATATAACACGGTTATATTATTTTGAAGTAAAATTTTAAAGCAATACAAAGCTTAATCTATAATCATTGAAAAATCCTCGAATAAAATAAGGTTCTCAATAAATTTTAATATTTGTAAAATAACTAAATAACAAGTCTCCAAAAATTCAGTGTCAAGTATTATAACTAAAAGGAACAATATTTCATAAAATCATATTCTTTAAATAGTTTTCAAATGCTCAGATTCTTCTAACTTCTCACAAGACTAATCATACTTATCATTTATATTATCTATAAAAGAAAAGAAAATAGGGAATGAGCAAACCACAGCTCAATAAGTATAGGCTCACACATCTTATTGGATCAAATATCGTTTTCATATATACTATATAGATCATTCCAAAAACATTCATCAACTCATAATGTCAAAAATAATTCAAAAATCAACATTCTGTCAAGCATTTGTAGATCATAAATCAATATCAAACATGTTACCAAATCATGGATCACTTTGTAAAAAAACATCATAAATCATTATTATCATTCATTTATCATTAACTATGATTAATGCTATAACCCATGATATTGGCTGTATAGATAATATCAACCTCATGATCATTGCTAACTATTATAGCCCGCTAGTCAGGGCCTTATGCTAATTACTATAACCCGTTAGCAGAGCTATATGATCATGTCTAGCTAACTACTATTACCTATTAGCCAAGACGGTAGAACTAGTTCTGATGTCAATGATTCCTCTTTCTAGAGATATAAAAACGTAGCTATCATAAAATCATTCTTTAAATATAAATTATTTTTTCATTTCATTCATAAGCATGATCCATCGTTTATATAGAGAAACGCCTATTTTCATATATCGAAAATGATGAAATAAAATATTCATTCATTTAGAAATATACATATATACATAGATTCGAAAACAAGCAAAGTGTGTGAGATTCTACTCACCTCCTTTCGACTCCACCATTTAGTTTTTCTCCCAAAATAGTTAATGGCCTATTCAAGATCATTTCAACATAACAGTAATTAATCAACTCATTTTTTAGACCAATTATACAAAAAATAATTAAGTTAAACAAGGGTTAACTCAATTAATTAATAATAATAGCTTGAGCTCATTTTACTAAAATAACCATATCTCAAGATATCCAACTCGAAATTAATATCTTTTTAATGCGTTAGAAATTAGATTTGATAAACTTTCTAACCATATATGGTTTATCTCATGATTCCTTATGGATTAATTATAATAATTTTTGAAATCCACATCAAAAGCTATTGCTAGATAACCTATATACCTTCTAATAAAAATATGTATTTATTCATAGGAAACCCCAAATTTAATTCCGCTTATTTCTTTGGAAAGTAGACTCAATAAGCTTTTCAAACATATATGGATTGATTTGTAAATCTCTGTATAAAAATTAAGATGAATTTCGTAATTCCTCCCTATTGCTACTACTTTGTAGCTTGCACATCTTTAAGTAAATATTAAACTACTCTTCATAGAAAACTCAGAATTGACTTCTGTTTATTTAATTGAAAAGTAAATTCAGCAAGCTTTCCAATGATATATAATAATCATGGCAGTATTTAATCCTTTAATACAAAATATTACCTTAATCTATCACTACAAACACTATAGTTTATATCAGGATTTGTATGAAACAAAAATTTTCCTTTCTATTCCCATCAAATTTCTGTTTTTTATTTTTACAGCAATAAAATCACATTACCAAACTTTTTTAACACTGAATTAAAATCTAAATTATTTGCCTAAACTAATCTTGAAGAGGGATAATGGAAACCCTAAAATTTTAAGGTTTCTCCATTACAAATTACACCTCAAGACTTAATAATCAACACTCTGAGATTAAAAAAAATTATTTACTCACCTCTGATAAATAATTTTTCTTACAGATTTTGTTGTTACTCTCGGCTTAGAATCTTTCGATTTGACTTTTATGTATAAGAAATAGAGGAGAAATAAGCCTTTTTTTTTGTCTTAATTAGTTGTCAACCAAAATCAATATAATAAGTTAACCCTATTAAAAAAAATTAAGTTATTTATCAATAGATCATATATATTTTTATTCTTTATTAAAGAATCCCTTCACTTAAAAAAATACTTAAAATAAATTTTTTTTCTTTACAAGTATCACAAAAATGCTGTCATTTATGGCTTTTACATGATAGTAAATTACCCATTTATTCTAATGAAACATTTTTTTTTGCAATATGCATGAAATTAAGGAAAGAATTCGTCCCTATCTATTTCTCTATAATGGACCCACTTCAAACGCAAATGGCAATCAAAAGTTGAATTAGTTGCACCTTCGCTTGGTCCTTCATTAATTGATGTGCAACACCATTTCTGCGTCACTCTGATTTAGGCGCACTTCAGCTTGAGCAACGACAACTTGCCCTTGTCAGCCTTCACTTCATGTTCAGTTGTCTTGGAGTTGGACCCAATAGAAATAGAATATAGCAACAGGAAGAAGCTCTAGCCCTTTACAAACGCTTCAACTTTGATTAATCAACGTGATTGATTACTCTAATCAGTATCAGCATCTCATTTGATTAATAATTGGACATGGTGCTATCTCTCCAACTTTCCTCACCCCCCAATCATAGCTCCTGTTTGTCATCCCTTTTTAACGGCTTTTACCGTCATGTGTTTCTCATGCGCAATAGTACCTTTCCATCAAAGTGATGCCTTTTTCCTTTTTCCTTTAAACATAGTAAACACCAGAGAAAAGTAAGAAAAAAGATAGCAAAAGCAAAAGCACCACTTTGGAAATTATGGGATTGGAATCTCACCATTGATCTCTGAATAGAGAGGTGCTAAAATGAATGTCGATATATAGGGTCTACATCAATAAGGAGAGTCCAAATTTCCATCATTCGTCAACCATTCATTGGAAGACTACCGATCAGACTATAGCAGTAGCACAAACATTAATTAGACAGATTTCAGAAGCCTATAATTTTATAATCAAAGTTATTGCCCTTTGCGTGCATCAACCGTTTAAGTGCGGATGAAGATAAAATAGTCATTTAATTTTTTAAAAATATATCTATAAGATTATTCTGCAAATAATATAGTATAATTGAAAGCATTTCTGGCCAACTGTCCCAGCAATCTTGACTAAAAGGAAAAGATATAGGAAAAAGTAGATGAAGGAATCATTTCAACCTTTCAGGAAAGCTTTCTACATAAAAATTATAATGTCTCACATTACAGCAAAGTGAATAAAAATAAGTTATGTTTCACATGCTATTCATGATTCCAAGTTCCTTATAATCTAGACTGTGAAATCTTGCTCAAGCATCCTTTCCAATCTAAGCTAGCATTGCCCACGATCTTATATGTATTCTTGTTTTTTCTATTGATTAAGCTTAAGGATTGTAGGCGTGGTCTAAAAAGTATGTTCCAAACTTCCCCTTTGTGTTGATGAAGCTTCGCTCAAGGATACAGTGATGGCTAGCTTGTCAACCTTAAATCTTACAAATAAATTTACGTTGTAATAATTGAAAATCCCAAAGGAACTGAAAACTCTTCCCATCTTTTTGTAAGATTGGATGATGGATACCAAATTGAACTTGCTCGCCGTTCTTACTCTTGTTTCAATTCAATCTCATCTTCAATTTTTTCCAACGTTTATCGGGGCTGCCAAAAGTAATGTAAGTATATGCACACAACTTCAAAATTCACGTAAGAGGTAGCCTTTATTTTTTTTCTTAATTTTGTTCTGGTGCACATGAATGCAAATATCACAGGTGCATATTGTGTACATGGGTGAGAAAAAGCATGAAGATCCAACAATAACCAAAATGTCTCACTACAAAATGCTGTCCAACTTGCTTGGAAGGTATTATAATTACTCCAAATTTTAACAAAAAGTAAAATACGCTTTGCTCCTTTTTGTTTTGGATAAATCAAGACTATTATCTTTGTATCACAGCAAGGAAGCAGCAAAAAATTCAATGCTTTACAGCTATAAACATGGCTTTTCTGGGTTTGCTGCAAGGTTGACAGAATCTCAGGCAGAGGAAATTGCAGGTGTTTTAATTTCCTGCAGCAGTTTGTATTGGTTGCTTTGTTTTCTTTTAGCAGCTAAAACTTAAAAAAGTTACACTTACAAATTGCAGCATTTCCTGGTGTTGTCCAAGTGATTCCTAATCGCATTCACAAGCTTCATACAACCCGAAGCTGGGAATTCATGGGGCTAAATGGTCATTCTCCAGAAAATCTTTTAACTAAAAGCAACATGGGTGAAGGAATAATCATTGGTGTAATAGACTCAGGTAATAAATCTCTGCATTGATAGTAGCTTTAAAAAACAGGCTGCTAAACTCGGATAATTTTGGAAACAATGATTGCAGGAGTGTGGCCAGAATCTGAGAGTTTCAATGATAGGGGCATGAGTCCAATTCCATCTCGTTGGAAAGGAATATGCCAAGAGGGACAGCTGTTCAACTCCTCAAATTGTAACAAGAAACTTATTGGAGCTCGCTGGTTCATCAAAGGCGTCTTGGATCAAAACCAAACGCCCATAAATATAAGTAGTGGAGAGGATATTCTATCAGCAAGAGATAGCTCTGGGCATGGCACTCATACAGCTTCCACAGCAGCTGGTAATTTTGTAGAAAACGCAAATTATGAAGGACTAGCTACGGGTTTGGCTAAGGGAGGAGCTCCTCGAGCTCACTTGGCAGTTTACAAGGTTTGTTGGTCATTTGGACCTGGAGGGTGTACTGATGCTGATCTTCTGAAAGCATTTGACAAAGCGATACAAGATGGAGTAGATATCCTATCCGTGTCCATTGGCAATTCTATACCTTTGTTTTCCTATGCGGATCAACGTAATTCAATTGCAATCGGTTCCTTCCATGCAACTGCAAAGGCCATTACCGTAGTTTGCTCAGGGGGGAACGATGGTCCTACTGCAATGACAGTTGAAAACACTGCTCCCTGGATTATCACTGTCGCCGCTACCACTATAGACAGGGCCTTCCCAACGGCCATTACACTTGGAAATAACCACACTCTCTGGGTAAATGGTCATTACCTCTAGATTAATCAAACAATGCAATCCTCTTATTGTTATAACCCTCTGTCTTGCAGGGGCAATCTGTTGACATTGGAATACATAACCATGGATTCACTAGCATTACATTCTCTGATCGCATTGCCTTAAACTCCAGTGATGATTCAGCGTCAGGCCTCTCTTTTGATGTTGTTGAAAGAGTTTTTATTCTTTTCCTACATCCTGTGTGATACATTTACTTCTTCCAGCCTAGGATGCGAGCGAGGAAGTCTCAATGCAACATTAGCAGCAGGGAAGATCATACTTTGTTTTTCACAATCAAGTACACAGAATATATTTACTGCTGCAATTTCTGTGCTGGAAGCAGGAGGGATTGGACTTATTTTTGCCCAGTATAGGAGTGATGGACTTGACTCATGCCGTTATATACCATGCATCAAAGTAGATTATGAAGTAGGGACACAGATACTTTCCTACATTAGAAAAGCAAGGTATGGGCAATTTAAGAAGGTGAAGAATCAAAAAGATATGGTATTTTTTTAAGACTTATAGTTGTTTATCATTTTCCTTCTCCTTGTTAAGGTCTCCAATTGCCAAGCTGAGTATTCCAAAGACAGTTATAGGGAAATTTGTATCTCCTAGAGTTGCAGATTTCTCAGCCAGAGGACCTAGTTCAATATCCCCAGCAGTGCTGAAGGTAAATGTAACAAGCTATAAATTCCTATTATTATTTCTAGGGAAAATAAAGTGAGATAATTTCTTAACCCATTTTTTTAATCATAACTGAATTCAAGAATTCTTTTGTGACCTTGTGCTTCCTTCCCTCATTCTTCTTTAATTGTAGTAAGATTTTAGTTTTATCTCCTGACAATGTGTTTTTCTTGGTCAATCATGGTATAGCCTGACATAGCTGCACCAGGTGTGGACATCCTAGCTGCATATATACCAGTTGGCACAGAAAAAGGCATTGGATATGCATTCCTATCAGGAACTTCAATGTCTTGCCCCCATGTTGCAGGCATAGCAGCTCTAATCAAAACTGTACATAAGAATTGGTCTCCTGCCGCCATAAAATCAGCTCTAGTCACCACGGGTGAATCAATTCTGCTTCCCATCTTTACATTTTCATTTATTTTAAAGACCTTAATCTTTTAAACCCAAAAATGTGACCATTAGTGCAAAACTACAGCTTCCCAAACAGGAACAGATGGTTCAAATATAGCTGAGGAGGGCTCAACTCGTAAGGCAGCAGACCCATTTGACATGGGCGCAGGACTTGTGAATCCGAACAAGGCAGTTGATCCAGGGCTCATATATGACGCTGGAATAGAGGATTATGTCCAGTTCCTTTGCGGCACTGGCTTCAGCAGCAGGTCCGTCAGCAGTTTAACCCACACCAAAATCAATTGCACAAAAAGCAGACAAAATGAGTTGAACCTCAACCTTCCATCCATCACTATTCCATACCTCAAAAGGAAAGTAACAGTGTTCAGAAAGGTAACGAATGTCGGACCCGTTGCTTCAGTGTATAAAGCGACGGTGCAAGCTCCAGAAGGCATAAAGCTGAAAGTAAAGCCCCAAATATTAAGCTTCAACAAAACCACCCAAATTCTACCCTTTAAAGTCACCTTTTTCTCGACTCAGAAAGTATATGGAGATCATGGATTCGGGAGCCTGATATGGACAGATGGCAAGCATATTGTCCGGATTCCTATATCAGTACGCGCTATTCCGTTTTAGACATGCGAAGATGTCTAAGATTGTAAGATTAGCATTCAGTCAAACTGTTGCTGATAAGCCAACGGTCGCGTGTTTTAGCCAATATTGAATTTTTAATTTTACCAATCAAAATTTATCAAAATTTAAAATTTGAGGTTGTTGTTGTTATTAAGCCGATGGTTGAATAATTTATTGATAAAATGTTAGATTATTAATTATAATTATTAGAGTGTAAATCTTGATAAAATCAAATATAAAAAAACTGTTGCTATTAAAAATAAAAATGGATCAAATCAGCCTCAGTTTTACGAAAGGAGCTTCTTGTGGTGGAACACAGCATTCAATTGGCAAACAGATTAGGCTCCTAGAAAATTTCAATCCCAATTGTAGTTAAACTATCTTGAATAATCTTCCATCAAGCTAACATCAAGCTGATTGAATAAATATTTTTGTCTTAATTCTGAAAATTTTCAGGTAGATGGGGTTGTACATCCAGAAGACATTTGCAATACTAAAAACTACTAGTAGCTGACCCGCGCTTGGCTGCGGGGGTTGGTTTTCAATTAAAAAAACTAAGAAATTGTATTGTAATGCATGATAAGAATGGGTCAAAAATTAATAACATTTGTTTACATATTAAAATAAAAATTATAATATATAAAAAAGTTAAAATTGGATTAATAATCAGAAAAACAAAATATAATATCTCAGTCCAAATGATAATTGGATTAGACTATTACCAAAACTCATTAATTTAAGTTAGACTATTACCAAAATTCATTAATTTAATTAAGAGATTAATTATTAAAGAAAAAGTGATTGAGGTGTTTTACTAGATAAAATCTAGTTATTGTCAAAAAACAAAAAATGGAGTTCTTTTTTCCATCTTTCTTAAGGTTAGAGAGGATGAAAAATCAAATTGAGAATTCAAAATCGGAGACTATAGTCGAGTTAATATCCTAAAAGTGAATATATGATCTCTTTTTATTTAAGAAAAGTATTATGTTGATTATTATTATTTGGGGTTGAAGTTTATAAGAGAAAAACCTAAAAAAATTATGAAATCTTTCATTAATCTTCATGATCTATTTAGGTAAATTATTAGGTTTTGTTTACTTCATGTTATTAAGATTTAATGATGATTATTGAATGGATTTTAAATGTTGAAAGTCAGGATTTTAGTTTTTTAAAAATTGAAGGAAAAATTCTGTTTTTGGATGATATATTATTATCTACAGCAATTAATTAAAATGAAATTCTGTATTAATGGATAGATTATTACTATAAGTATTATCTATTGTTGGAAAACTTATTGAATCTACTTTCCAACGAAATAAATGGAAGTCGATTCCGAGTTTTCTATGAAGAGTTGCCTAATTATTACTTAAGGATATGCAGACTATATGACAGCAATATCAGGGTTGAATTATGAAAAGTTTCTTAAATTTTATACAATGAATTACTAATTGAGCCATACATGTTTAAAATGTTATTGAGTCTCCTTTCCAACTAAACAAGCAAAATTGAATTTGGAGTTTACTATGAATAAATATGTAATTTTTATTAGAAGGTATATATGTTGTTTGGCAGTAGCATATGATGTGGATTGCAAAAATTATTACGCTTAATCTACACAAAATTAAGAGGATAGCCATATATGGTTATAAAGCTTATCAAGTCTAGTTTCTAACACTCTATAAAAATCTTAATTCTGAGTCGTATATATTGAGATATGGTTATTTTAGTGAAAGTAATGCAAGCAGCCAGAATTAGTTAGTTGAATTAATTTTTGAATAACTTAGTTGTTTTTAGTATAAATGGTCTAAAATAGGGTTGATTAATTTTGATATGTTGAAATGACTTTGAATAGGCCATGAATTATTTTGGAAAAAAAACCAAGTGGTAAAATTGAAAGGAGGTAATTAGAATCTCACACATTGGCTAACAGGGTATAATTATTAGCAATGATTATGAGAATGAAATTATTGATATGGCCAATGTTACGGGTTATATTAGTGACCATAACTAACGATAAACAAATGATAACGATGATTTATGATGATGATGATGATTTATGATGATTTTTAAAAATTAATCCATGATTTATTTTGATTATGATATTTGAATGACAACATATGTTGCAATGATTTATGAATTAACATGTTTTGACATTGGTTTATGAATTTACGAAATATTTGACATAATAATGATCTTTAAAATGTTTTGACATTATGATTTGATGGTTGTTTTTGAATGATCTATATGGTATATATGAAAACGATACTTGATTCACTAAAATGTGTGAGCTTATACTTACTGAATTATGATTTGCTCATTCCTCTTTTTCTTTTTCTTTATAGATGAGTAAGTGATAAGTTTTCTTAGTCTTATGAGAAGTTAGAAGATCAAAATGGCAAAAGATTACTTAATCGTCAAAGACAATGTTGGCTAATAAGATCTAAGAAACGATTTGTATTTTTATTAGTTTGTATTTAGATATATAGAGATTTATCATTAGTTTATTAAATAATTTTAGAATGATGAAGAAGGAAGGCTTCGTCTTACTTTGAGATTTTAATTTAAAATAATATGGTCGTATTGTATTTTCATCTCAGAGCAAGATATAAAGTGGTATCAGAGCTTAAGTTGCGATCTTTGAAGAATTTTTAAGAGTTAGATTATGATGAAATTTTCTTTAAAAGCCTAAACTATGATTCTTGGAGATTTTCCAAGAGTTTAGCTTATGATTTTTAAACTATGTGGGATGTTTAAAAGCTTATATTATGAGTTTGGAGATTTTTTAAGAACTTAAGTTTTGATTTTTGGAGATTTTGTAAGAGATTAAATTATGATAATTAAATTAACGGTGATTTTCTAAGAACGTAGCTTATGATCTTTTTGTTGAAACAAATATTTTACAAGCATGGTTATGATCCATATACTATATGGAGATTTTTAAGAACTTAAATGATGATTTCTAGATAATGTGATGATTTTCTACAGACATAAGTTTGATCCATAGACTATAGAGGTGAGTATAAGTAAATGATTTGATGAATTTTGGAGAAGTTAAAGTTTTAAGGAATTAATGATTTAATGAATTCTTGATGTAATTACTTTGGTTGATATTTATATATTACTTTTTGGATCTTGTAGTTAAAAGAAAGTCTAATTTCTCTAACATGATGTAATGTTATAAGTTTAAGAGATTTTAGGTGAGGCTTCTAACGAGACATATCTTATGAGCTAAAAGATTATTTGAGAAAACGATTTGATCATTAAAAATCCTATGGATTTGAGAAAAGATTAACGGTCGATTTCATGAGGTTTTGAAGTTATTTGATATATATTAAGTGAATCTTTAATCATCGATTAAGATTGGAATAGAAATGTACATTGTTAGAGTTAAAAGTATAAAATATTGGAGTTGGAGTGAAACGAGATTTTGAAATTTTGAGGTAATTATTTATGGGTTATAATATTTAAGAATTTGTCTTAATGGATTTAGTTTAAAATATTATAATTGTGATACATAGTTTTATATACGTAAAGGAAGATATTCACTTGATTTGGTTTTGCATTTTTATTGAGAAAATATTTAAGATTTGATCCCATGACTTAAATTTTATATTTATGGAAAACATTACCTATTGTGGTACAAGGTTGTGTACTTAGTAAGAAATTAAATTTGTGAATTAAAATTAAAGTTGTGATTAGCTAGTTGATTTAGTAAGGAAGTTGGTTTGAAGGAGTAATCGATTTATGAAAAAATATATATGTTTTGGTTAAGAATGATTGTTTGAAATCTTATAAGTGCGAAAGATTGTTTATTTTATGATCATGTCTTAATAATTAGTGATCATTTTGTGTACTTAGTGATGCTGAGTATATACTCAATTTTAGATAAATTTGAGAAAATTTATGAAATAATGTGATGCTTTTAGTTATTGTTCATAACTATACTTTTGGCATGAATTCAAGTATTTGTAGTTCTTTTTTTTTTTTTAAATTCTATAAGAGAATTTTATTTATGAGTTATGATACATAGGTTTGGACTTGGATTCAGAGTTGATGGCAATATATTTGATAAAACAAATTGAGACATTATGATATTGGTGAGAATTGAGGAGAACCAGTTATTATATGATAATTGGTCTATTAAATTAGAAAGAACAATATTCAAAATTGGAGACAACTTTGACAACTAGAGACTTGTATTTGAATTTACATAGTGAAAATGTATGGATATAATTTATTGCATCAATTTGATATATATTATAATAGCCAATTGACAGAAAATTTCATATTGTCAATAAAGAAAAGAAAGTTAAAGTACTATATGATATCTTTTTAGTAATAGAAGGATTTGTTAATACTGTTATTCAATTTTAAGGTTGTTATGGTTATTAACACACAGTGTGAAGTAAATTACATGAAAATTTGTGGACATATGCTTTTCTTTTTATAAAACAATTTTATGAAAGTTAATTGGATATTTTAGAGTTTTATTAGAAGGGAATATCAAAGTTTGCAGTGCAAGCCTGATTTGATTTAAGTTCTAAATTTTTATGCTATTGTAGTTGAGAAAGTAATAAATCCTTAATAAATAAGGATTAATGGATTTTGGATAAGAATATTTTGTGTTCCTTCTATTTTTAGGAGGCTTTATTATTGATTGATATTTTCTAAGAAATGCTTATGTTATGACTTGCAGAGAAATATTTTTATAACAATAGTAATAAGACAAACATTCAACGATTCATTTTGAGATTTTGTATGGAAGTAGATCTAAGTTTTAAACTTATTGGGATATGGAAAAGAAAGAAAAAGTTTTATTTCTTGAATTTATGGGTTAAATGGTTGATAAATTTTAGTTCATTAAGGAATGGTTTAAAGTAAGCAAAAGAATTATGCTAGAATTTGAAGATAAGATTTGTAGTTTGAAGTGGTTAATCATTTGTAGTCAAATGTGTTATCATTAAAGGTGTTATAAGGGTTATAAGGTAAGGAAGGTTAAGTTT